AGTAAGACAAGTAACAGTAAGGCAAGTAACAGTTAGACAAGTAACAGTAAGTCAAGTAACAGTAAGTCAAGTAACAGTAAGTCAAGTAACAGTAAGTCAAGTAACAGTAAGACAAGTAACAGTAAGTCAAGTAACAGTGAGTCGAGTAACTATAGGCTAAATAACAAAAAGCTATGTAGATAAAGTCAAGTAATAGTAAGTCATGGAACCTTTCAACCCAGATGTTACATGAAAGAGATGGCGCCATATTCACATCCTATTGGCCAAACGACACTTGATAGGTGATCCGGTCAAATCAGGTCCGCCACTGTTACTTTTCAGGAGAGTTCTGACTACCAGTTTTAGGCCGAGTTGTCGACCCGGGAGCCGAGAGAAATAAACTTTCAAAAAATCAACCCAATATGAAAGCGAACCCTAAACTTTTGGACGGCAGAAATGCGTCATAGCCACTGCTTAACTGCAGCCTAACCCCTCATAAGAACGCGGATATTTGTTTGTTATAGATGTGGTCTGTGCCTCTTGATAATTTGACATTACTTTCACCTCCCATGAGTCACGACCCGGACAGCAACCCAACAAAGAAACACGACACCTGCTCAACCATACCCGCATATTGTAATCAAGGATGTGAAGATAGGGTGCGGACATCTACCTGCAAACCAGTACAAACATAATATCAACTCGTGTGGGTTCACGTGCTCCACTTTGTGTGGGAAGGAATCGACTTATTACCGCATTAATGCATGTAGTAAAATTCGACTTATTAAGAGTGTTTTCGTCAAAACGGTGTGCATCTGTCTGAGAGGCGAGGGACCAACAGTCTGCATACAAATAAGCCAAAACCGTAAAAAGGATGTATACTAGAAGCTTAAATTCTGAAATGTCTAGAAATGGACGAACAGCCAGAGCTTTTCGCGGAACTTATGGCCCCCAAACGCGAAGAAGAAAAATAAAAAATAAAGAAAGAATAAAAAAAAAAAAAAGAATAGCGATATAGAAAGAAAGAGAGAAAGAAAGAAGAACTAGACAAAAATGACGTCTCATTCGGAATTCGATACAGACTACCCGATAAACGAGTTCGCTATGTAAACGTTGCCATCTTTATCCTCGTTAATAATGATCTTTATAGCAAAATAAAAAAAAAGAAAAGAAAACGGTAGTAAAAAAAAAACAATTATCATAACACTGATAATAACATGAACAATGTTAACACAATATAGCAGTTGTAGTAGTAGTTTTGTAGTAGTAGTGATGGTCTTGGTGGTGGTGGTGGTGGTAGTAGTAGTAGTAGTAGTAGTAGTAGTAGTAGTAGTAGTAGTAGTAGTAGTAGTAGTAGTAGTAGTAGTAGTAGTAATAGAAGTAATTGTCTTCTTTGCGATTGCATACTGAAAGAGTAACATCCAGTGACCCAAAGAGACACAGTTGGGATGAGAATGTAGTGAAAACCAGAAACACAGTTCAACCGTACAGGTTATTTTAGTACAGTGGACGGTTACGAAATAACTGTTGTCCAAATTGGTTGAGAGAAGTAGTAGTAAAACAGCGTTAGTGATAATAATGATGACGAAAGTAACTAGTCTTTAGGAATAGTACACAGTGAAGTCCCCCCCCCCCTCCCTCCTCCCCACCAATAATTGTACAAGATACTAAGTAGTACCCTTTACCCGTGTGTAGAAAACTTCTATAAAAGTCCATGTGTAAACAGTTGACATTATTTTGAGGGTACGATTCGAATTAGTTTTAACAAATAAATTGTTACCCCTTCAGATTTGTATTCTTTAGGATTAGCATCTCAAGGACGAGAATCAAACAGGTACCAATTCCTGAATACTCCGCTGAATTCTATAGGTACAGTTATATTGGGCACTACAAAACGATAGCGAAGTAACCTGCACTCCAGTGTGGGTGGGTTGTGTGTGTATGCTCTGTTCAGTACATCAACAATACTATTATTATTATTTTACCTACTGCTACTATTACTTCTACTCCTACAACTACTACTACTGCTGCTGCTGCTGCTACTGTAGCTGCTACTACTACTACTGCTGCTGCTGCTGCTACTACTACTACTACGACTACTACTACTACTACTACTACTACTACTACTACTACTACTACTACTACTACTACTACTACTACTACTACTACTACTACTACTACTACTACTACTACTACTACTACTACTACTACCACTGCTACTACTACTACTACAACAACTATTACTACTACTACTACGACTACAACTAGGATTACTATATTTAGCCTAGGATTAGCCCCCGTGAGGACCCCCAACCCCCCCCCCTTTTTTTTTCTTTTTAAGCGTATCTAGAATATTCGTAAAAAGGGAAGGGGCGGTGTTTGAAGCTTACGCACTGCCACCCCACCTCCCGCTGTCTTTGTGTTGACGCCCCTGTAATAACAGTAGAATCATAATTAAATAAATAAGTGCACATATATGTCTGTATGTGTGTGTGTGTGTGCGTCTGCGTGTGCACGCGCGCAGAGCAAACGAACGAACTTTAATCATATATTTAAACGGTCATAAACTGGGCACGCAGGCCTGTCTTACATTCAGTCCTTCCAAACACCTTCATTCACACAGCAGAATGGACAGAATACTGGTTGATTAATAAAAACAAGCAGGATTGAATTATTTGAGTTATCTCCCATCTTTTACACAAAAAATATTTCAAAAGCTGGAATAACTGGAGTGCTGTCCCTTATATGTCTGTCTATGTTTTCTAGTTATAAACTTCTGCGCCAAATCCACAATGAAAGTTAACTACAGTGCACAAACTGCTGTCCTTAGAGATATCACGCGTTGAGGCCCCAATTTCATTTTACAGTGCGACACTCAAACTTGTCTGGGAACTACGAGAGAACCCCCTGCACCACCCTCCCGTTCTTTGTTTTTATTTCAATCTCCACACAACCCTAATTATGATGTCAGAGTTTGCATGTTACTGACCCTAACAAATACAGGATAATAAAAAGGACAAAGACATATTAATTAGACAATGTTATTACTCGACTCTGGTGCACGTGAACTTAGATTCTCCTATGGAGGAATTTCCTTTGATCTGTAAATGGTAATATACAAAAACTGGAGAAAAACTTGCCCACCCAAGGCTGCATGTGACACCCAGTTGGTGTGGACATTAATTACGGTTGGAGGTTGAACGGGTAGGGTGACCACACATCCCGTCTTCGTTTGGACAGTCCTTTATTTGAGTGTAATAACAGCGGATATGATTAGATTTGATAGTTTTAGATACTTCTAATGTCAGGAATGTATTGCCGAGAATTTGCCTAGTGGTATGTTTTTTTTAACCCTCTGTTAAGGAGCATATGTTTGTTTCGTTGATTTCTTGGCAGCATTTATTTCGGGTTTTAATAGTACCATTTTCGATCGAGTAATTAACGCTTTTACCGGGTGATCTAAAGAAAAGAAAAACGGGTGGGGTGGAGTTTAACCGAACTACCTAGGATGTCCCGTGTTTAGCTGAGCACATTAGGGGAATGTCCCGTTTTCAGCTGAGCACAATAGTGAAATGTCACTTTTTCAATTCAGCACGTTAGTGGAATGTCCCATTTTCAGTTCAGAACGTTAGTGGAATGTCCCGTTTTCAGCTCAGCAGATTAGTGGAATGTCCCTTTTTCAATTCAGCACGTTAGTGGAATGTCCCGTTTTCAGCTCAAGACATTCTGGTCAACCAACGAATGTGGAATTTGACCAGTGGGCTTGCTATCCAGACCGGTACTTTTTATCCTGAGATTGGTCAAGTCTATAGCTAGCAGCAGCTTGGAGGGAGGGGGCGGGGGACGGACAGTGATAGGTAATAATGGAACTAGTATAATCTAAGTTAAAAACATAAACACACACACACACACCCACAAACACACTCACCCCGACACATACACACAAACACACACACACACATACACGCTCTCTCTCTCTCTCGCATACACACAACAAAATTAGGGGGAAAAAGGAGTTAAAACAATTAAAGAAAGACAGACAAAAACAATGCTATAATTTTTCTTCTTCTTCTTCTTCTTCTTCTTCTTCTTCTTTTTCTTCTTCTTCTTCTTCTTCTTCTTCTTCTTCTTCTTCTTCTTCTTCTTCTTCTTCTTCTTCTTCTTCTTCTTCTTCTTCTTCTTTTTCTTCTTGTTTTTCTTTGCGTTCACAGGCTGTAAGCTCCGGTGGAAAGTTTTAGTCATTCATCCACTTCTAGACTCTAGTCTTGTTCCAGAACCTGAGTCGTGTGCACATCCGTTTTACAGATCATGCTTACTTTTATGCAGACTTTACCTGAGGTAACTAGCCAGTTAGTTTGTCTGTGCTCTAAAACTATACCCGCTCATTACCCACACAGAAAGTCTGCATGTCTGTAAATGTAGATAATATAACAAGCTGTCCATTCAGTCTGACTTATAAAAATAAACCTGAGTAACTATCCGTCAAGGTAATTTGCTGTTAATAAAAATAAAACCGATGCCATCAACCATCAAATCTTTCTGCTGTCTATAAAAATAACCTGAATAAATAACGATGAATTGTGTTTGGTTTGAATCAACATAATCAGAATAGCTAAACATTAACATGATATCTGTGAATAGAATAACAGTAAGTAACCATCACATAATTAAAGGGGTTAAAAATCTACCCAAAGAATTCAGGATCCGTGCTGGTGCTACAGAGCCTGTGCACTGTGCTGAGCTTCTTGTGACTCAGACTTGAGTTAGAAGAAAAACGGAGCACTTAAGGGTTACTACCCGTGTGCCGTGATTTTGATCCGTTGTTCAACCTCAGCCTCAGACTCAAATAATTAGTCTGCTTTCTATTTTTTTTTAACAGGAATAATTAACCACCAATTTGGTCTGATTTGTATTATTACTATTGCTAGAATAACTGATCTGTTTTCCAACTTGAAGAGAATAATAATAATAATATTATTCTTTGTTCACTATGAATTAACAACACTAGAATAATTAATCATCACATGTGTCTGCTGGCTATAAATCAAACTACACAAACTCACCACAAAACGAACTTTTTCTGAATGAAAATGCAGCCACGATAACATAAACTTGAAAATCTGCTTATTTCCAATTCTTACATAATCCACCGTTGCAGAAAAAGATTGCTTGCATTAATGGTCCAGACTGATTTTATTTAACTCAACTACACCAGATATAACACATATAATAACTTACTTGATGTAAACTTCTAATATTATTCCCAGAGCTATCTTCACAATTACTTTCCTTCCCTGCCGGTGGGCAGTTTTCACAGAAATAGGGTGGGACCGGTTATCTCGGGAGCCCTCTTTTGTCGTCACCGGAGCTCTGTCTAGTTCCTCGCGTTTGAGTTGTTTAAGTAGGCGGCTATTTTTGGACGACAATAGCCGACATTTTCTGTTCAATCTTGCTCTACCCAAGCTTGTTTCCTTCCCCGGCGACAATACCTGAGAATCGCGGATCACAATCGGACTATTTTATTGGTGTGTGACATCCACCCCCCCCCCCCCCCCCCGTTTCAAGTACCTGGAAACATTGCTTATCGTTGACGTAGAGGAGCGTCACTTACTGATGATTTATAAAAGCTTAACACGCATTAGTTTAACTGTTGAGAACCGGATACTGCTGCTGTAGGTATACAGGGTCTCCTCGACTTACGACGGGGTTCCTCTCGACTAACAGGTCGTAAGTCGAATTTATATTTGCCAGGGCCTTTGATTCAAAAGGGTAATAAAAGTTGTACATAAAACTAAAAAATACAATTAATGTAGGTATAACTATTTACAAAGGAAGAGCTTGGTCATAAAATTATACAGCACATTGGCAACTATGAACCTCTTTTAACTACAGTAAAAAAAGCGAAAAATGCAATGGTATGGACATGTAATAAGATCTAACTGCCTCTTAAAAACGATTCTGCAGGGCTCAGTAGAGGGAAAGAGGAGAAGAGGCAGACCAAGAAAGATCTGGTTGCAGAACCTGACTGACTGGACAGGCCTCAGGCATGCAACCATGAAGTCCATCGCAACTGACCGCCAAAGGTTGAGAGATGCTGATCAGACAGTCAACAGAAACTGGTGACCCAACGACACGTAGTATTAAGGGATGATGATGATGATGATGATGATGATGATGATGATGATGATAATGATGATAACTATTGTGCATAATGTGAGAGTACATAAAACGTACTCTGTAGCATCAGTTCGGGGAACCTATTTTCCCCTGTCAATGAAGTTATTATACAAATGGCACCAGCACTAAGAAATGAACATGAATTAATCTGTAGAAACCAATGGAGCCGTCTATGACATAATCTTCTTGTCGATCCTGTGTTATCAACGTCACACCTGGACAATGATAGAAAAAGAGAAAGGATAAATTTCAACTGAAATGAGATTTCTACGAAGGGATCTCACTATAACAAGAAGGGATAAGATCAGAAAAGATGAAATCCGAAAAAAAAATATTGTGACAGCAGGTAAAATGGTTTAGCCATATAAGGTGGATTTTGGCAGACACTATACCACAGCAAGCAATGATTTACAGACCAGGCGGGAGGCGAAGAAGAGGCCGACCATGCAAACAGTGGACAGAGTCTCTGAGAATCCCCGTTTAAGAATAAAAAAACGGACACTTTCCGGTAAATTATACTCCATCAACAGCTCCAAGATTAAATGAGATATAATGAGATGAGATAAGATGAGATGAATGCAGCAATCTGTCTTTATCTACTATTTTTATTTATTCAGTTTTGAAGTGGAGAAGATGGTGTATAGTTAACGTGTTCTTGCTCTCCCGGCGGGGGACACAGATTCCAGCCTGCCAACAGATTTCTAGAATAATCTCAAACACGCTTGTTTGTTTCCTGGACACAGACGAGACTGAGCCTTGGATCACGTCTTCCCACCTCAGCTCTGCAGAGATTTTTTTAACAATCTTCTTCTTCTTCTTCTTTTTCTTCACTTCCTCTTTTACCGCTGTGGGTGTCGAGGGAGATATAAGGTTCTGTTTCTAGCTTTTCTGGCCGCCTCGACCATAGGCACATCGTGCTGTTGTAGAGTTTCTCTGTTGTTATCCTTCCATCTTGTTCTTGGTCTACCTCGTGCTCCAAGTCCTTCTCTTTCCATGTATGCTTTGTATGGTATGGTGTCACAAGGCATTCTCTCTAAGTGGGCAAACCATTTCACTTGCTGTATTTTTAGCAATGTCGGTTGTATATTTTTGTTTTGTTGTTTAACGCATTAGTTCCATGAGTGGGCAACAGGAAAAACCAAAAAGGGGAGAAAAGGGGGAAAGGGTGGGGGGGGGGGGGGAGAGAGCTTCAGCTTAAACATCCTTAGTGCCTTACTAATAAAAGGAATAATACACAGTCAAACTGGCAATTGAGTAGGCCGCATTTTTTTTTCTAGTGTGCTCTGACTAAAGCAAACAAATAATTATGCAATCTTTCGGAGTGATACACATTCTTCCCCGTGAGGGTTGCAGGGCCCTAAATATAGACCTTCTGTATCCTAAAAGAGTAGTGTCGTAAAAGGTTCACTCAAGTGACTTGTGTCAGGCCAAATGGTGCGCATATTGAAGTTGTAAATCAGAACTTAACATGCCAAACACATTTTTTTTTTAAAAAGAACCCCACCCCCCTCCCCACACCAAAAAAAAAAAAAAAAAAAAAAAATCCAGTAAAAGTAACCAATGGGTATATACTGTGTTGTGACTAAACAAAACAAGTTTAAACGTACGCATGCACGCACACACACACACACAGACAGAGACACACAGAGACACACAGTCGCACCACACACGCACACACATACACACACACGTGTGTGAGACTGGCGATAGAAACTCAGCGACATATCACATATTGACGGGAGGAAAGTCAGCTTACAAACACACATTCTTGCCAACCTGTCTTTGCATCCCACTGATGTCTGACTGACTGACTTTCTACCCCACTAGGACATCACTCAAGCGATAAACACCCGATGACACAAGGTGCCACCATGTGGATGAGGATCGCCGTGGAGAGGTCCCAGAAACCGTGTTCAGACAATTGGCCATATTTATGGCCTGTCTATATTGCGGCCCCTGGTAAAAGCCAGGGTGGGGCTTCAAATAACAAAAAATGTCGTCCTAAAAAGGACGAAACACCTATTGCTAGGTGTGGTATAAGATTCCACTGATGTCTTGAATGTGTCTATGTTTGACGTGACCGTTATGTGTGTTGGGTTATTGATGTGTCTGTGTTAGACGTCACCGTCCTATGTTTTGGGTTATTGATGTGTCTATGTCAGACGTGACCGTCCTATGTTTTGGGTTATTGATGTGTCTGTGTTAGACGTGACCGTCCTATGTTTTGGGTTATTGATGTATCTATGTCAGACGTGACCGTCCTATGTTTTGGGTTATTGATGTGTCTGTGTTAGACGTGGCCGTCATATGTGTTGGGTTATTGATGTGTCTATGTCAGACGTGACCGTCCTATGTTTTGGGGTATTAATATGTCTATGTCAGACGTGACCGTCCTATGGGTCCGGTTTGTGTGGTGTCCACGTCAGGCGTGACAGTCCTAAGGATAGGGCTTTCGATGTGTCTATGCCAAAACCGGCTGCCCTATGGGTGGCGTTCTTAATGCGTCTATGTCAGAAGTGACTGCCCTCTAGGCTGGACTCTTGATGTGTCTATGACTGACACTAGCAGAACATCACACAGAGCGCTGGCACGGCCATGATAACCTACGTCACATGATAACCTACGTCACATGATAACCTACGTCACATGATAACCTACGTCACATGATAACCTACGTCACATGATAACCTACGTCACAAGGATGTTCTGTAAGCAGAAGGGACATCTGATCAGTCACATGAGTTCCACGTCGGTTAATCAATTTTTATGGATCCCCAGCAAAGTCTTCACGTTTGATAACTTTAAATCTATATCGGTATCTCTCGGCAGCCGTGGCAGCACTGTGGCTGCCTGTCCAAAAGTTTTGGGTTCGAA